CTGGGCACAGGAGGCTGAGGCAGGAGGATCTCGAGTTCAAAGCCCGCCTCAGCAAAAGCGAGGCAACACGCAACTCCGTGAGACCCTGTCTCTAAATAAAATACAAAATAGGGCTGGAGATATGGCTCAGTGGTGGAGTACCCCTGGGTTCACCCCCAAATAGAGGAGCACCTCCTTTTCTATGTCACCCATGTCTGGCAGAGAGAATGGCAGAAGAGAGATCAAGGCTTCTGTCCTGGGTTCCCAGCCACCTACCCTCTGAGTCTCAGCTTCCTTCCGTGCAAAATGGTTATTACTCACATCTGTCTGTGACAGAGCATAGAAAGGGCCCACTTCTGGTCTCTGCTAGGGGCTGAGTTGGGTTCTCCTCCAAATTCTCAGGTTGGAATCTGACCCTCAGGAACCTCAGAAGGTGACCATATTTGGAGACAGGGTCTTTTTTAAAAGAGGTGATTACGTTAAGGTGTTTGAATCCAGGCTGGTCTTGGTGACTTGGTTTGGCCAACAGGAGGCTAGAAAGATGCAAAAGTGACAATGTGGCGGCTCTGAGTGGTGACTTTCCAAACTTGGGCTGTTTGCGTGGTTTAGGTGGTCTGATAGCGCCACCTGGTGGCTGACCTGGGTCATTACGCCCTCTGCTTATCTTGAGACACCGTCAGAACTGGAGCCAACTCTGATGAAGGGTAAACTTGCCTCAGACTCCGGACTGGGGCACATAAATCCCCAGGCAGGAATTTTTTGGGACCTCCAGGTGCCTCCCCACCCCTGACTCGCTGAGTCTTCCAGGGGTGGGATGATGACTCTTTATCTCAGAAGAGCAAACAGGTATGTGAAATTTTGGAAGAAGAGGTGGCTTGGGGACCTTGGCCCAGTTTTGCTTTCTGCTCTTTTTCTAATCTTCTCTTTCCTTTTTTCCTTCTGCTACTGGAGATTGAACCCAGGGTGGTTAACCACTGAGCCTCATCCCCAGCCCTTTTTATATTTTATTTAGAGACAGGGTCTTGCTGAATTGCTTAGGGCCTCGCTAAATTGCTGAGGCTGGCTTTGAACTCATAATCCTCCCGCCTCAGCCTCCCGAGCTGCTGGGATTACAGGCGTGCACCACCAGGCCCAGCCTCCTTTTTAAATTTTTTATTTTGAGAAGGGTCTTACTAAGTTGCGCAAGCCCTCACTAAATCGCTGAGGCTGCCTTCAAACGTGCAATCCTCCCACCTCAGCCTCCTGAGTCACGGGGATAAGAGGTGGGTGGCACCACACCTGGCTGTGAATGAACTTTTTCAGGTTTATCAAAAGACTCACACTCTTTCCCATAACTATACCTTTGGGGCCAAGGTATACGTAGAACAGTATCCGGCACGTGCAAGTCACTTAGTAAATATTGTCATCATCATTAAAATGGAACTATGAATCAAGCTGCCCAAAGGATTAAATAATGACAGTGCTTCTGATAAATGGCAGAGCAGACAGGCAGGACTTTGGCCCTATAATTCTTTTTCTTTGTAGGACTTGGGGGCACTTGACCACTGAGCCATATCCCCAGCCCTACTTTGTATTTTATTTAGAGACAGGGTCTCACTTAGCACCTTGTTTTTTTGCTGAGGGTGGCTTTAAACTCGTGATCCTCCTGCCTCAGCCTCCGGAGCTGCTGGAGGCCACTATAATTCTTTAAACTATCAAAACAACAGCAGTGACCCATCTATCATGATATTCCGGATTCACAAACTATAGGCTACACTGCTGCTGCTTTTTGGAGCAAATGAAATGGTGACTTTTTTTTTTTAAGCAAATAAATTGGTTTTGGTAAACGACAACAGAGGGACGGGCACCGGCTGGCTTTAGGGCGTCGCGGGTGTGAACCTGGGACGTCCGATCTGCGAGCCTAACTCCTCCCCACATCCCCGTTGGTTCGGCGCCTGCGCAGAAGCCAGCG